TTTATACATAAGAAATAAAAGTATCAGGACAGATAGGGCTCTGTGATCAAGAAGCCACTCCCCCCCCCCCTCATTTTGAAAAATTTTTCTCTGGTGCTGAGACTTTCAGTATTTAAACTCTGTCAAACGTCAAACAACTCTTCTGTCACTGATGGCTGAATTGAAATCTACATTTTTCTTAGTATAAATTCAAATAAAAATAGCAACATCCATAATAAAGTAAAACTACTATTTGAATAGGCTTCTATAAAACACACATCTCCAGTTTAATGCTAAAATTATCAGAGCTTAAATTATTATAATTAAGATGTAGTCATTATTCTAAAATGAGAGAGCAAACAGTGAAGTTTTTGTTTGTTTCTGAGTTGTATATTCTTTCAGGCATGATTTCTATTGTGGAACGCAGTGCAATGTGTGTAGGGATTTTACCCCACAAGGACCTCCATCCCTTCCCTCCTACTCCATTCCTTTTTGTGAAATGTGAAAACTATAAATGTATCATCAAATTTATAGATTTCAACTACACTAAAAAGCATGGGATGGAAAAAAATACTTGACTCTTGAGGGTTTTGCTCTCCTCTGCTGCATATAGCCAGAGTCATGATTACTAAGATGTTTTTAATAGCTCTATCGTCTGGTTCAATTTTTCCAAAGGGTAAAAATATACTCTTTGAAGTAAAGTATTCACCTATCTGATATAAATAAAACCTTTCATGCAGAAAAATGTTTTTCTAAATAAAAGAGTTAATGTACCTCAAATATGTGAGAAATTTTCTTCCAGTTGAGCAACGTTTAGTACAAGTTCCATCTTACTTTTTAATTGTGAGATAGAGGGAAATATACCTGTCACTTTATAAAGTCAATGCTAGAAAAAAAAAACTCATTTTCATATTGATAATTATGCCAGATTTTAAACAATTTTTTTTAAAGAAAGTATGTCTTGATTTTGGCCTTCAGTCAATGAAAGTGGTTTCTCCCCATAAGCACATTTGACATTCACAAATCTTACATCTTKCCTGAGCTAGTGAATTGTTTCTTGCTGAGAAAAAGCTGTGATTCCCCCTAACTTAGGTATTAGAAAGTGTACCTCCAACAGATGTCCATATAAGCTTTTCCCCAATGTACTATAAAGCCATAAATTCCCTGAATTTATCTAGGATCATGGTTAACTCCAATGGCTCCCTTTTGCCTGAATGTCAGTCAGACCCAACTTGCATCTTCCCAGGGCATGCTTCTTGCATTTCTATGGGACAAGATATTTCTCTCCTAAAAAATGCCCTTCCTGCTCAGGGGTGCAGTGGTGCACACCTGTAAATCCAGGAGTTTGGAAGTCTGAGGCAAGAGGTTTACAAGTTCAAAGCCAGACTCAGCAAAAAATGAGGTGCTATGCAACTCAGTGAGATCTTTTTTTTTTTAATTAAAAATATAAAATAGGACTGAGGATATGGCTCAGTTGTCAAGTACCCCTGAGTTCAATCCCTGGTACCCTCACCCCCAAAATATATGCCCTTTCTTCTCACTTTCTCAACATACTCTTGCTCAGATGAAACCAATAGGCTCTCTTCAAACTTCTAGAGAAACCTATTTCTTTCCCCTCCATGTTTTCCTAATAGATACTGCTATTATAATGCAAGGACATGGTAACCAACACCTGAGTCTTTTAATTACTAAAGGTGAGGATTTGGAAGACTAAAGAACAAAAGGTGAGGAGCTTGTATCCTGTGCCTCCATCCCTTATTAGCTACATTATCTTAACCTCCATGAAACTCAGTTCCCTTACCTATAAATAACAACGATATGTATTGCAGGATTGCTGTGGACAATGTTTCTAGCACAGTGCCTGTCACATGACCAGGACTTGCTATCCTCATGTTACTATTAAATGGATGAAGGAAGAGCTCCAAAATGGCTGATAAGCATATTACACTCCTTCAATTTGAAGAGTTAACACTCAGATCAGGATCTGCAAGTGCAATCCTCTTATAGTCATGTGATGCTATCTTTTGAGAAAGCAACTGAGGACATGGCAGACAGTGGCAAACAAACAGTAAGCACATATACTCCCCTGAAAGAGCACCAGGGCCACCTTCATGAGAGCTCATCTTTGGTTGTGATGTATGATGTGTGAAGAGAACCTGGATATTGCACAAAGCTGGGAATAGATATTGCAGCATGGACATATTCCATAATTTCTCTGTAAAGACATCCTGTCTGGTAGTATGGAACTATCCAGTGCTACTTGTTACAAAGAAGAGAAATTGATGTAGTGTCAGCCTAGACAAGCAAACTTCAAACTGAGAGCCTGCCTTGTTTAAAACCTCTTTCCATTATTTTTTATTTGAAATGTGAAATAGGGAATAAAGAACAAAAAACGTGTTATGGAATTAATTTCCTTTCAGTAAAGAGAAAATAAAAAACAAATCACAAATACTCCCAGATGAACACCTCCTCTAAAATAAAATGACAGATTTAACATATTGTAAAATTTGAAGGACCTCCTTGCCTGAGGAAAAAAAAAAAACTTGAGAAGTTAATTTCCTTCAATGAATGTAACTGTTCCCATGTGCATCTGTCTCAGACCAGAAAATGTACTGGGTGTTTTTTCTGACCAATTGCTTGTTTTTAAGCAAATCCAAAGCCAACGGAGGAGGGCAATGAATGAATAGAGTGAGCATTTACACTCTCGGCCTTCTGTGTGTCTAAATAGTGAAGAGAGCAAATGCTGCTTTTGCATTCACAGAAGAAAAAATTAGAAAAACTGAAAGTCTTTTTTTTTTTTTTTTTTTTAATGCTTCTTTGTTCAACTGGGCTGGGTGTTAAAAATTCTTGGATCAGCTTTTCAGCTTGCAGAAAAGCAAGGTGACCATTGTTCTTAATTGGCAGTAATGTGCTCAAGTATTCAGCCCTTCCCTTCTGGCAGAAAGAGGTTGGAAGGGGTGGCAGAGGAGGAGGAGCCAGGAGTGAACAGGAGGAGGGGGAGCTTCTCAGAACCTGCCATTCAAGGCTAGTGGCAGTTTTTTTACAGGCTGCCAGCAAAAGTGTGGTGGCAGCAACTTATGAGTGTGCCAAAGAAAGGAGGTCCACGTGCCAAACTCTGGCATGTGTAGCACCTACAGGTTGCCAAGGCATGGTTTAGACCTCAAACAGGTTTGAGGTTCTGCACCAGAAAGCAAGTTAACCCATTCCCACTATTCCACAGGATGGTGAGTGATAAGATGTTTCAATGCTACGGAAACTCCTGGTCTAGAAATATACTATTTGACTCTCTTTCACGGAGTCATTTTTCACATTATAAAAACCAGAAGGAAGAGGGTCAGTAGCTTAATATTCACACCCATTAAGCCAGGCAAGCAACTGCAGAGTGGCAGCCCATGCTAGGGTAAGCAGGCAATGCTACGGGATCAAATCTAGGTTCTGTATCCATGAATGAAATATATAAAATGGGATGCTTTTGTTTTTGGATATAAAAGACTTCCTGAAGAAGTCTGGATGATAGAACTTAATATAAGCTTCATTATTACTCCCTCTAAAGAATTCTATTCTCTCTTCTAAACTGTAAGCAATTTCTGGAATTTAGATCAGCTTAAAAAGTGGGCCATACAATCTCAAATTTAAACTTCTTAAATTTACAGTGAGCTTAGGGAAAAATCTTCTATTTCTTTTTACTGCCTCCACTCTCAGCATAAGTCCCCTGGTCCTATATAATTTATCCAAAGCTTTGGGCAGCCGAAAAGCCCTTTTATCCTTCACTAGTAATTCAGAGCCTTTGTAGGAGAGAGACATTCTTTCCTTCTCTTTTCACTTAAAGAAACATACCACGCCTGAATAGACTCCAGGCTAGGCTAGGGGATGGAGTGATTTTTATTAGCTCTAACATAGCTATTGACAAATGCTTGCAGACAATATTAAAAAGAAAAAGAAGAAGAAGAAAAGGCTTTCACTTCATGCCTTAGAGGGTAGATTGGTTACAATTTAATTTCTAAGAGGAAAAATTTATAGAATAAAATGGCCCAACATTTCTCTTTTTTCATCACACATATGAGAAATATAAACTAAAAGGACATCTGGAAAGGAACGTTATTCAGTAATCAGAAAGCAAAAATCCAAACCATTGATGTTTTGATGGAGACAAACATAACTAGATTCACAAGGAGGAAAGCTGTAACCGATTGAAGTTAAAAAAAAAATCCATATGCATTTTACCTTTTGGGCAGTTCCAAAGCAAAGTTCTATTTCAGAAGCCCTTTGTAATATGAAACCCATTGTAGATAAGATACAACGTGAAGATAGTCTGTTTTGCAGCAGCAGGAAATCAAATTGGTTCCAGAAACGAAGTTATATGACAAATAGTTTAATAGTATTGCTACAATTGGAAAGCTTGATTTAATTATTTTTTTAAAAGATTTTGAAATAACACCTATACCAAAGGATGGGGTTTTGCTGAGATTGGGTGGGGGAGTGATTCTCATTTTATTTTTACCTGAARTGTTATAATTTGTTATCAAAATTAAAGAGCTCAGTGGTGATTCATTATTAAATTTTGCAACAAAATTTTATAGAAACACAATACTTGGTCTACCAAAACTAATATATGCTGTGGAGAATTAAACAGGTTAACAAATACAGGTATATTGTATTATCATTTCCAACTTATTTTTAGTTTTAATCTCGGTTCCAGTCAGTCCTGCTTTATTTAAAGAGCATCTGGAAAAGTTCATTAAGATTTGGCGGGTTTTAGATTTTTAGAAGAAAGGAACTTCTAAACAGTCCTGCAAGATGTGTCACTGCAAAATCACCCAGCGCCTCTTGCCAGTAGATGAAATGAAATCTTCTGACTGGAGTCAGGAACAAGTTAGACATCATTTAGGACACAGAACATGACTACAGAGATTTAGAAGAATTTGTACTTAAATGGGATGTGACTAGACGTTTAGAACTATTTTCTAAAGTCAAAAAACAAACAAACAAACAAAAAAACTTCTTTCCCGTTCAATACTTACGGTCTTTGAAGACTAGAGCTGGGTCTCTGTGAGGCAAGACTTGGGCAATGATGTGTCTCAGAGATTCCAAGGTTCTGTCCATCTCGGGTCTGTCTGTGTGAGCCTGCTGCACAGTGTCCTCATGCCTGAATTCTTGCAGTCCTGGACTGAATTTGTGCAGCTCATTGATGCACTGGATTACCAAAGAATCCCTTTTAACATCTGCCAATCAGACATTTCCCAGAATCTAAAGACCCCTCAGGGGGCCCTCCTCTCAGGCTCACTTATCTTTGTTGTATGCTGAGCTAATTAGCTCGAAAGGCTGGCTGACAGGCGGTCCCCATTGCTTCCTTCTGTTAAACACACCCACCTACAGGCTAGCTGGGGAAGCTCGCTCACTAATCATGGGAACAGATTTCCTCTCCAACCAGATTTTGCCTGAATGCTGTGCAGCTTTCTCGCTTGATTTTTTTTTTTCTTCAACCGCACTGCACCCAGGAATATGAAATCAAGAAACTTATTTCTCAAGAAAATTTCCTAAATAACAAAGGAGCAGCTCAGGACTGCTTGAGGTATATAATCAGTATAATCAACACGATCTAAATTCTCCTTTGGTGAAAGAGTGCTATAGAGAYAGTGACTGCAGCCAGATTGTGCTTTGTGCTGAATTCAGGAACATCTCTTTGGAAACCACAGTTTAATACCCACACAACCCCCAAATATAGCCACTTCTGATGGGCCAAACCTGGTGAGCTGTTGTATAGCTTGCCTGGGAATATTTATTTTTCTATTTATCCTCAAGGAAAATCATTCCCAAGGTAGACTTCAATTTGTTCTGATAACAGTCACTTCTTTTCATTTCATGAGCATTCTGTTAAAAAAAATCTCAGAAATTAAAATATGCTTTTCAAAGAATATAGGTAGTTATTAAGAAGATCTTAAGAAAATCAAGGCTTTTTAAAAATCTGTGATCTATACCACCAGTAAATAATCTAAATAATCTTTTGACAGCAGACATAAATATGTTATGTGATCCCATTACAAAAATAAGGAATTATAAAAGTAATAAGATAACTGATTTTAATGGTTATGAGCTATGCTAGCTAGCTATTGAAGAGTTGTGGAGGATTTCTTTGCTTTTTTTAAAATATTTTTTCACAGTAGACATAAGAGGTTGTTTTCCAATGTTCCTTTCAATTTTCAGATTCCATAATTATGTTGTATTTTATGATGAACTGAAACCAGTCCTTTAAAGACTATATAAAAATAAAATGTCTTCCATGTGATCAGCTTCTTCAGCTATTTTGTAGAAGTGTGGCCTTAATAAAAGGAAAAGGAAGGAATAGGACTGTAACAATAATGCTTATTATAATGACTATCACCTGGCAAATGCCCATAGGGCATGTAGGCCACACAAAAAACAAACGTGGAACTGCCCCAGGGCACCAAGACATTGATTCAGATTTTACACACACACACACACACACACACACACACACACACACACACAAACACACAAACATGAACTTGAAAGAAATCCCTCGCACTTCATGTTAAGATACTTATTTAGGGTATCAAAGTGCATTTTATGGGGTTGGGGATGTGGCTCAAGCGGTAGCGCGCTTGCCTGACATGCGTTTGGCCTGGGTTCGATTCTCAGCACCACATACAAACAAAGATGTTGTGTCCGCCGAAAACGAAAAAATAAATATTAAAATTCTCTCTCTCTCTCAAAAATAAATATTAAAATTCTCTCTCTCTTAAAAAAAAGCACACTTTATGCAGCCTGTACACATTAGGAAAGTGTGTGTGTGTGTATTGTTGTTGTTGTTGTTGAGTAATAAACCCACGGCCTTTTGCATGCTAGGTGAGAATCTACCACTAAGCAACACTTCCAGCCTAGGAAAATCATTAATGTCCTTGCAGTCCAGGAATTTATAATTGTAAAAAAAGATTTTGGATGCAGGAGTTTATGCTTTAAAACAAATGGTTTGTGGACCAAAAAGCTATTATACAGTGATTAGACACAAACTGTAAATGAATGCAAGCACTTGCAGTGTGATCCTGCATTGGAAGCCAAGATAATTAATGTTGCCATTAGAGAACTAGAAAAATAACATGGATTTCTAAATATAATATGATATATAAATATATACTGATAATATAAAACCTGAGAACAATTAGAAATTATTGGTACTTGGATTTCAGTTAGTAAATGGGCATTTCTGTGGGCTTAAATAGAATTCTAGCAAGACTTAAAAATATTTTGATAGTATAACACAGTGGAAGAAATGATGAATTTGGGATCAATGAGACTTAAGATTTGATATTTGCTCTCTATTTAACCTTGAAAAGCCACTCATCTCTGAGCTCATAGTTCTCATCCATAAAATTAAGTCGGAATGCTCTCTTTCAGTTCTAACATCTTTGATTCTATGACTATATTATAAATGAGCACAAGTATTATCACAGATTTTCTAGCCCTCTGAAAAGCCTTGTATTTATTTCCTAAAAGTTGGACTGATCTTCAAACAAATCACTGCTATTCCCATGGTTGACATCATATCCATTTATCAATCTGAAAGATATAAATCAATATGATGAATACAAAGATGCTTACTGCTAATGCTAAATAGAATGAAAGGTTAAGAATTTTTAAGAAAAATAATCTCCAATCTCCATAAGGTTTTTATAAAGAAAGCAAAACTATGAACATCTTCATAGAGAACACCAAAGCAGCTTTGCATAGACTAATTCATATAAACATTTTGATCTTTAATGAGTTACATTTTATGAAATGAAAACAGGAATTCTAATGTAGATTATACAACATTCCAGTTAGCATAGTTTCTTCAGTAAGTCCAATCTTTCAATAAAAGTTTTCTTAAAACTTTGCTTATGCATTTCTTCCTTGAATGCTTATAAAGAGTCCTGACTTTAAAGTGCTATTGTAAAACAGTCAGAAAACCAACTATGTGGTTTCTTACTATTCTCTCCCTTTGATGTAAAAAGCAACTGGTGGAGATGGAAGAGCCTGAAAAACCCTCTGAGTAATGTGCCCATTTTAGTACAGCCCCATGTTCACACATTGGATTTCACCGTGACATTAACCTAAACACACATGCCAACAGCACAACTAAACTTCAGAAACAAGGGTAGATGACTGCAGTAAAACCGAAATGATGTTCTTAAAATTCTTGGTAGAGCACTAATCTGAAGGATGAGTATTGGCACCTGACACAGTCTCAGTGATCAGAACTCACTACTCCATGATGACAGACGGCAGCCGTGTGCAACAACATGTGTACCAAGCTTCATGGAGTACAGAGCTCTTTGAGAAAATGAGAAATCAAGGTGGCATTTTTTGCACAGTTCATGGACTGTGCAACAAAAAAAAGTCTATGGAAATAATAGTTTTAATGGTAAGGAGAATTGATGCCTCTCATTCCATAAACATTTTTGGTAGATAGCTGATTGCAGTTATAAAAACCATAAGGGGAGCACCAATTAAAATAGTATCAAGAATGTAGATGTATCTGAGAATCACAGGAAGGACCTAACGGAACACCACCATCACCACCACTACCACCACCATCACTACCACCAGTGTTATGATGTGCTCTACTCAGGAGGAAGAGACTAGGGTTGGCCAGGCAGAAGAGCGGGCCTGTTGGTGAGCCTGCAGGTGAAGCTGGTGAGATTCCAGGTCCAGAAAGATTTCATTCCAAGGCATGCAGGCTCCAGTGACTACACCTGTGGTAACAGCCTGACCTGACTCTAGGGAGTCAGGTGACTAAGGGAGAGGATCTTGATTTCAATTTAGGAAGATGATCTTGCCTGAGATAATTTTTTCAATTATTTGTTTATGCCTTGATTCTTTTTTAAATTACTTTTTAATTAAATGGTGTGTGTGTGTGTGTGTGTGTGTGTGTGTGTGTGTGTGTGTATGTGTTTGGGCATTCGGGATTGAACTCAGGGGCACTTGACCACTGACCCACAACCCCAGCTCTATTTTATATTTTTAATTTAAAGACAGGGTCTCACTGAATTGTGAGAAACCTTGCTTTTTTGCTGAGGCTGGCTTTGAACTCAAGATCCTCCTGAATCAGTCACTAGAGCCTCTGGGATTACAGGTGTGTGCCACTGCGTACGGCTTATCTTTTATTATAGCAATAGGTATTCATGGTTTTCAGAGCCAAAACAATACTACAAAGCTTATAACATGGGGGGTTCCCTGGCTTAGCCAGACAAGTGGCTAGTTCCTACTCCCCAATGCCAGCAATGTTAAATTTTGTTTTGCTATTCTTCAGGAAGATTCTACTGATAATTTTTAGATATTGTTAGTAACTATCTATTTTCTTCTGCTTCCCAAGGAAAATGAGTTTGATTCTCCTGACYATCCCACACTCACACACACAATTTTCTTCCCATTCTTCTAATGTAGTTTTCATATACTTTTGTTTATTTTTGTAGTTGGATTTCAAAATTACAGCTAGATAAGTACTGTGTCAAGCTAAGTGTCATATTCTCATTGTATTTTGTTTCTTGTGCAACTTTTTGTTTTTCCAGAAATTAATCGCCTCCTTTCTAATTTGAATATATTATTTTTTATTATTTTTCAWATATGATTTACCTTCGTTCTTAAAATTCTACAACTTAAGATAAAATAGATAAACTGAAAAAGAATCAAAGTCATGGAGTTAGAAATACTTAATATTGAGAGAAAATTGTTTATAGAGACAATGGGAAATCACTGACAGGAATTCCTTCCAGATTCCAGTGGGGKAAAGGACTGAGAGGGCTAGATGCAGAATTTAGCTAAAGGGGGTCAAAGCGTGTTCCAGAGTGTTTCTGAGGGTATTTGGGAGGCTGAAGAAAGGGAAGGGCCAGAAAGAAGCTGACTCCACAGAGGCAATGACTAATGACTGTTTAGCTTCAGCTTTGTTTGGCCTCCACTAGAAGAGAGCAGTAGAAGGAATGAATGGCTGGTTAGCATCAATGCTGCTATCAACTGGGAAGGAACAAGTTAAAGGCATGAATTGCTGCTCAGTGTTCATTTATTTACTCTCTCCTGGGAAGGGACCAATGAGATGTTTGAATCAAAGTATTTATGAGAGGGTCAGTTGGAAAGGCAACTACAGATGGTTTCTAGACGAAAGTTTAAAAACACAAGTAACATAAAAGAACTTTATCCCAGGCATTTGTTCATTGATATTTCACTAAATTTAGGAAATCATCATTAAAAACAAATCTGTTAAATTACATGAAAAAAATTAGAAAAATGATTAATAATCAACTTATAGATTAAGGAAATGTACATTTCT